GTTTAGTGGTACCATTCTTTTGAGGCTCTATCACTTCAGTGGTGTGGGATGTAATTGGATCCATAGCTTTCTTATCGAGGGTTGTGAGCCGCAGCTTTGATACCAACTTTCACGGGGTGCCTTTCTTCTTGGCACAGAAAGGGACACCGTGCGGCAATAGTCTGCTCCGCTAGACTGCCTTCCGCCTTTTCTCAGTTACGTCGGAACGAAAGAAAATTTGACTACAATTTTGTAGAAAGCTTACAATAGAGAATTTGAATACATTGAAAATAAACTGAACGTTGATTGATGAAAACTGAACATTACAATTGATGAAAATTTCTACAATTGCTGGTGCAAGGGGCGGACACCAGTGAGTTTGAAAGATTTTTGAATGACTAATATCCCCTATAATAGCATTCTGAACAAAAACCTAAGTGATAGGAGTAGACGTTTAAAAGATGAGGAATCATATTAAACGTTTACTAATATCAGAGCTACTTTACAATTGAAATAACTATTACAATGAAAAGAAAATTATAACTCAAACTTGAAGTAATATTTACAATGTGCGGCCGAAGTTGGGTAAACTGCGGCTGCGATAGTGTCAAGGGGCTAAATAAAGCTGCGGTTCTTGACACCAGGTCAAGGCTCAATCCACACCACATGTTTCAAGGGAAGGGAGAATTATACGAATAATAAAGAGGCACAATAATATGAAATAGGTTTAGGGTTAGAGAAAAAATTTTAACCAGCTGCTTTAAAAAAAAAAAAAAATTCAGCCACACAGTATACCGATTTCTGGATTGGTTCATAGGACAAAATCCCAAATATGAGTTCCAGCACCAAGATCCCTCTAATAATCACCAAGAACAATAAATCTCATGAAGAGATTTCAATCAGCACCAAGATCCGCTACCAATAAGATCTAGGGTTTCACAAACTTTCAAATCCTTTCAGATCCGGTTATGAAAATCAATTTTCCACAACTAGGTCGTAAGGAACAGACTCGATTCACTAAAACAAGGCTCCGATACCACTGTAATAAAAAGATCTAAAGAATACCAGAATACAGAACATATATCGAATGAACCATTGACATCAAGATCTGAATATTTAGGGCTCATAATACATTGTACCCGTCTGTAAAACACCAAAACGACCACAAAACCCCAGCCTCAAAGATCAAAATAGAGACAACTACTTCTATGGTTCACAAAGGTCACCCAAAACACAAAATACACCTCTCAAACTATACATCAAAGAATCACCAAGACTCGATATGTACAAATCTCTCATAGAATTAGAAGTTTTTGAGATTACAGAGAAGTCACAGAGACGAAAGACGAGAGGAGACACAAAGTCGAAGAGAGAGAGAGAGAGAGAGAGACTAGAAGCTTCTCACACGAAAAAAATAAATAAATCAGATGAATAATTAATTAGGGCACAACTTAAGGCCTATTATATCACAAGTCATCACCATAGATCTCAAACCGGAGCAATCCAAGGAACCAGAGCAGCACACTTATTTATCTCATTTGGGCTGGATTTTGGGCTCAATTTTGGGTCGCGTTATTGGGCAATGGCTGATAGTATTTGAGTAAAGGGTCTGGTCCTTTTATTTCATCATAGCCCTATATTGAGCTGGACCAATAAATTGGCATCACAGCCCAATAGAGATTATTGTAGTCGCTGACTATAAATATTATTATTCTAAAAATACATATAAACTCTTTGAATTTTCACTATTTTTAATGAGATTTTTATGGATTTTTTTGGAAATCTATTCAAATTCACGAAATTCATTAAAATTTATAATTTTTTAAAATTCATTTGTTAAACGTGATTTAGATAATAATAATTTATTATAAATTGTTTTGTACAATTATGTACTGGTTACTATTATTAATAATAAATAGAGATTATTATGAAATGGTTTTTTAGATTAGTTACGGTAAATCTTCTAAATTTTACTTGACAAATTTTTAGTATAAAGTTGTCCACTCCGATAGATTATTCAGAATAGATCTTCTACTTCATCTACCATTATGATTCTGGTTAATGCTGAAGGGGGAACCACGGAAACATTTGCCGAAGTGGAATTCAAAAGGTGACAACTACCTAACTGTGCAAAATTCTGAGCAAGATTCTTGCATGAAGATGCCCCAATTGTGGTAGAAAATGAAAGTGATCACTAAAAGAGTGAAGCTTTTGATGTTTGGGATGATGCCGACTCCTATGCAGAAATTATATCTTCACTGAAGTCTAGTAAAACTTTTAAGTAAATGTTTCATTGGACATTGATCACTTGCCAAGAAGAAATTTAGTGTATCAAAAAAGTACCGTGATGCGAATATGATTAGGATTTTTTTATTTTGTAATTCCTATCGATTTAATTATGCTGACATCTAAGAAAGATTTATATATTTATTCGGTTTTCATCGAGGGCATTGCCTTTGCTGAGTTAGTAATTGCATGCATGCCATTTGTAAAAGAGAGAAGAAATAAGGAAAATTTAATTTTTATGTTAGGGAAAACTGATATTTTTAACAAAAATGCTGGTCTGTCAGGATGATTTTACCACGCTCTGTACATGTATTCACAATGAAATGAGCCCAACGTGGGACCCTCATGTAATAAAAAAATTGCTACGAAAATGTTAACCCACCTCATTGTGAGGTGCCCTGTACAAAGTCTGGTAGACTCTAATTGGTGGTGTAGCATCCTCCTCAAAAAAAAGTCCCATTAATGAGCTTTTAAGCATTGAAAACATGTTTGTTATTATTATTTATGTTGTTGAAAGATAATCTAGATGAATAGAGAAATTCAAGTCTCAAAATTGAAGCCCATTATGTTACGATAGAATGGTGAAATTATGCAAGTATTATCAATTTTAGTTCTAAGAGTTATATCGTTCAGCATTCTTGCTTATCAGTGATACATTATGCCATCCTTAATTGACTTTTTTTATGATAGGTGAAATCATGCAAGTATTATCACTTTTGGTACTAAGAGTTATAGCGTTCGACATTTTTGCTCAAATGTGATACATTATGCCATTTTTATTTATTTATTTATTTATTTATTTATTTATTTATTATTATTATTATTATTATTATTATTATTATTATTGTTTGGTTAATAAAGTATTTTGTGATCACAATTGGTCAGTGGTGTATAACATCCATAAAGTGCCAATACCAACTAAATGCCCAAATTTTTTTGTCAATTACAATTCATTGCAATAAAATCCTGACCATTGAATGAAATTTCCAAATTCATCTATCAATTAAACTAAATCACAATAACAAGGTGAAATTTTGACATTCTCGAAGGAATGTTCCACATATTTTATCCATCTTGGAGACCATTTTTTTTATTATTATTTTTTTTTTTTTTTGCCATTTGCCATTTATAATTTTCAACCTCCAGCAGTGATGAATTCAATATTTTACTCTCCACATCGAAAATCATCAATAGCAAATGATCTCATTTGTGCCAAAGCAACAACAAAAGTTGGGTTCCCACCATATTTTGGGACTGCAGCCATAAAAATAAAAGGTTAAGGTATAATTTGCAACAAATTGAAAAGTTTGGGACCTTCATTGTAATTTTTCCTATCATTTATGTTGTTAAACGATAATCTAGATAAAGAGACAAATTCCAAATTCTAAATTAATGCCGTTTTGTTATGATATATTGGTGAATTATGCAAGTATTATCAATTTTAGTACTAGAAGTTATGGGTTAAACCACTTAATCAGAAGCATAATGTCAGAATCCTATGTAGGGGGAGGTGATTGGATGGAAAATATGATTATATTTTAAGCAATCCAATAATAGAATGCCACGTGACATTATGACAACCATTATGTCAATTATTTTGATAATATAGCATGGTTCAAAATTTATAATGTTAGGCATTCTTGCTTAGCTAGGATACATTATGCTTTGTTCAGTTTTTTGACTTTGTTGTGAATCTATGACTGGTTAAATCATGTGAGTACTTTCACTAAGAGTAATAGTGGTGGATATTGTTGTTTAGCTGTGATACGTTATGCCATCTTTAGTTCTTTGACTTTGTTATGGTATATTGGTGAAAAAGTTCAATGATTTATTTTATTATATTCCGTGTTTGTTAAACATCATTTATATAAATATAGAATATTACGTACTATTTGTAAAGATTTTTATTTGGGTTATAATTTAAATTTTTATTTACTAGTAAATATTAGATTTGAGTAATGATTAAGATATTCAGATTTCCAAATTTTACTTCATGAATTTTTAGTATAAAATTGTCCGCTCTGATAGATTATACACAATTGCTTCTTCAACTTCATCTACCATTGTGATTCAGATCAACGCTCGAGGGAGAAACTGGAAAAAAATCGTCGAAGTGGATTTTTAAAGGGGACAACTACCTCACTGTTCTAATTTTTGAGTAAGGTTCTTACACGAGATGCCTCTGTTGTGGTAGAGAATGAAGTTATATCGTGACTGGATGAATGAATTTTAGGAAAATATTTAAGAACATGTTTTATTGATCACTTGCTATGAAAATAAATCTCGAAATATTTAATGTTATGAAGGGAAAAAAAAAAGTGCACAAATATTATTCAAAGAATAACAATAAATTAATTTTTTTGCAATAAAACAAGCTCTATAGTTTGTATCCAATAAATTTGAAATTGACCACACTCACATTTTTCCCTGTAGTCACAACTTGTTGACCAAATCCAGAATTTCTAGCTCAGGACTATAAGTTTCACTTGAATAGCAATTTTGAAGCCCGACATTTTAGTCATTTGGTCTGGCCTAATTTGAAGCCCAATACTTTGGCACGAGTTTGGACGGGACCGCAGATGAAAACCTAAAGCTAATCAGATGCAAACCCTATTCTTCCCCTTCTTCTCGGTCTATTGAATTTAGTTATTCACCATGTATATGATCAGAAGATCTTTAGTTTATTTTACGAGTTCAATAAACATTTTATATATTTCAATATTTATCATACCAAATAGATAAAACACGATGACCTAGTAAAAATAGTCGAAAGCAAGTTACAATATTGGTGACAAATTAATTGTTATTTGCTAGTCATTAGTAACTTACAGTACTAAAACCTTAACTAGAAAGCTAGCTAGTACAAAGGATGTACATTAGTTGGACTCTATCTACATATTAATTAGCCAATTAATTACACATCATGCATAGAGATTAACCCATTCATACCCATGAATGAAATTGTTTTCTGGCAAGTAAAATGCATTCTCCAATCCCTCCATTCCAAATTCCCCTAAGAAAGGTGGCTCCATTGAGAAAGATGAAGTCGGACTATTGCTCGATAATCTCTCGAAACACTCTGTTAACTTTTGTATCTCCTTCTTTGTATCACATAGTTGTTCTTTTAGCTTCAACACCTGTACAAACATGCAAATGTTTGGTAACATCTCGACAACACCTTTCATGATGAAAGATCAAAGATTTTCGAATCAACAATCTATATAAAAAAACTCCCTACAAATTATATAAAGAAAATCGTTGAATGGCAGGCTAACACGCTCCAGCAATTATAGAATTAGTGGGCTAAATAGCATTATTCTTTTTTTTTTTTTTTACTATATCAAGAAAGGTACACGTGTACATAATACTGTGTGGATGCGAGAGGAGTGCCATGTGCTGGAGATGGACCACTGAGACAGGCAATGGCTCAGCACTAGCCTCCAGCCACCTTAAACAACTATGTACGGACCTTTGAAACTGGCGACGTGGTACATTTTGCACTCTTTTGGGGTGGCAGATTCTAACTTCTCGTTATTTTTTTCTCTGCTCATTGATCACTTTGTCATTATTATAAAACTTCAACATGATGTGACACATCTTTTCGAGCCAAGAGTCCATGCATGTTCTATTGGATAAAATATTCAGTTTTTGATTGACATCATTTGACGTGGCAGGATAATGACCATTGATTTTAACAACACTTGGTCAAATCAATTGTCAAATTTCTTGCGTACAAGGAGCGTGAGACTTGATTACAAAAACAACGCACAAGTAAATTGTAGCCCTTTGAATCTCATTACATTAATTTCATTTTTTATTCTACTATTTTTAATTATATTAATAAAATAATATTACATGTAAATCGAAATATATTTTTTTTTCAACCACCCATTTTTAAAAAAAAAACTTTCACCTATTTTCATTGTCAAAAAAACAAGTCTAGAATGTTTAAGGTCCATTTGACATGATTTTATTTTTGTTTTTACTTCATGCAAATTTTTTTTTTTTTGGATAAAACTATCTTAATTTTTGTTTGAAAAATAATTTTGAAAAATATTTTTAAAGAAAATCACATTTAATCAAATTCTTTTAAAAGCTCTTTTAACGAAAAAAAATAATTTTATAAAATTAGTCAAACGGTCGAAAAACAGCTTTTAAGCCTAAAAACTCATTTTGACCTTTTAAAATCCATAGGCCTTAATCCCCTTGAGTAAAAACGAAGTTAATACAGCATGATCGACAATATTTTAACGTTTCAAATATTAATGTTGTATTGTACAATCTATCTTACGTTACGACGAGTGTTTGTGTGAGAGAGAGAGAGAAAGCAAGAAAGAATGCGACGACGAACCTCGTTTTCAAGCCTGCAATTCTCAATAACAGTGGTTTCATGTTGATTCTTCAACTTGGAGTATTCTTCCTCCATCTTCTTGCTCTTCCATCGAGCCCTTCTGTTTTGAAACCATACCGCAACTTGTCGAGGGTCAAGACCGAGTTCCGAGGCAAGCTTGTCCTTCCTCTCCGACTCCAATTTGTGTTCATCTTCAAAACTTTGCTCCAACAGACTCATCTGTTGTTCACTCAACTTCCTCTTCCTCATCATCCCACTGCTCCCCGCCTCGCCTTTGTTCTTCTTCCGCCTACGCCTCGGCTTCGCTTCCACTGAGAATCAAATTCGTCATAATTTAGTCCTCAACGCCAAGTAAAAATTCAAGTGCATGGAACAAATTTTGTAGCTTAGAAAAATAATTTGTTAGACCAAAAGAGACGTCAGTATCTTTATGTGTTAGCACGGACTATATTACCTATTGTACGTAGGAGTTCAATATCAAGACTTATTAAGATTTCGAGTTCCATCTTAAAAGATGAACCTTATTAAGAAGAGCAGCCTAAGTCTTTATAAGTTAGTCTTCGTTTTCTTATTCGATCGATACAGAATTTTATCACTTAACATCCGATGCTGCCTACCAAATACGGTTAAATTTTACAACGTAGTACTGACCTTGTTCTGGGAGGAGTTGGTCGTATATCCCAGCAGGATAGTACTGAGAAATCAGTACCATTTGGTCATCATCAATTTGATTCATGCTTCTTGCTGTGCTTCTCTCGTTTGTAGAATATGAGTGCTAGCTACAGAATAGCGAAGGGCTTTTTTTGCTTCCACGTGGGAGTGAAAATTGGAGGAGGAGGCTGTTATTTTAGGTATAGAAGAGTACAGGGAAGACTTTATTTATAAACCTAGGAACTTCAAATAAGTCTTGGTCTTGTCGGAAATATCATGAATGCCATTGTCTGATGAAATTTTTTAGATAAAATTTGTTAAATTTGGAAAGTTGGATTGAGGTGGGGCAATAGCATTTCTTTTGTCTGATTTGGTGAAACTTGACTCGGATAATTAGTTGATCGATGGATATCTTGTGGTATTTAAACACCTGCTTGTTTGGTTTGATTAAAAATTCAACTTTAATAAATTTTGATAAAATTGATAAAATATGTAACTGAAAATTAAATAAAATTTATGGATCGTTAAATGTGTGGTTCAAAATGAGTTCGAGAAAAAATAAATTTTAAAATTAGGGTCACATAAATTGTTGAAATTATACAACAAGTAATTCCCAATGTTACCAACAAAAAGGATCCCCATAAAGTTTTTAGGATTATTCTGATTATGACCATCATCATATCTACAATCTATCGAGGTAAGATTTCATTACGTAAACATGTGATTTATCCTGTTTACATGATGTTTATGCTAATCGCTTGTGTTTGTCCCATATAAGACGACATGCCAAAAATCAACTACCTATGAGCCTGTTTGAACCACATTATTCTAAAAAAATGCATTCTTAAATATTGATTTGACATCATTTCAACCACGCATTCTTCAGTATAATAATATTACACGTAAATCAAAAATATTTTCTTATTTTTTAACCACACATTTCCCATCAATACACTATTCAAGAATACATTATTACCAAAATAATGTGACTCAAACACTCCAATAAAGTACTTAAACTCTCTATAAGAAATGTGTCAATTTATAGCGCACTATATATTCTTGTTTGCATCTAGTAATACGCCTATGATATGTTCGTTATGGAAAATCAGATAATACGAATAATATTAAAAATGAAAAAAAATAAAATTAAAGTCTCATTATTTAGTTGTTTAATCACGTCCATACTATCGCATAACGGTGCCAGTTATCACCTTCTAAACATGCATCCGATTAGTGATTTATTCTTTTGAACTCAAACCACTAGCAAAGTACATATCTAACCCAAAACAAGTAAAAGATCTAACTAAAAGCTAGTAAATTTTTTAGAGAATCAAGAATGGATACGAATCTCACGCGATAAAGATGTAAAATCAATTCTCATAGAAATATGTTTCTTGAAAAGAGGCTATGGACTGAGGGAAGTCACCTTGTATTTGGCTCTCCCAATTGGGTAAATAATAAAGAGAAGGAAGATTAAAAGAAAAACTTAAAAACAAGTGTGACTAGGTTGAGTTGGGATCTGAAACCTGAGATTCAAGAAATAATATGTAAGGTTGGCCTCTGAATTTTGGACATGCCATGCAGCTTTTGTTGTCCCCTTTCTATGGGCTACCAGCCAAGCGAAGCCAAGCCGTCCTCTTTAGTTGTATTGCTTTTCTTTTTAGTTGCAGCACATGCGTGGCTCGAAATGAGTGAATAGTTATAAGTAACAAAAACTTTCACCACCTTCATTGGTTGATCAAAATATTGACACATATACATACATAAATCCCAATTCATTGCATAGGACTCTAAGCCATGACATCATTCATATAGAATCATTCTAGAACAATGTCTAGATCAAGTCATGTCAGATTAGCATGCTTTAAAATGGTATGTGCCATGACGACTACCGGGCAGTTACAATTTATTTATGTACATGTCCATATGGTTTGGATTACATGTCTTTAAGGTCGAGCCTAGAACGGCTCGGATGCGGAGGTGGGCCAATCCATGCTTGGTATGAATTGTCACAAACTTGGATCATGTCCGGATCAAATTACGAGTTCTCCTTTTCAAACCTGAATTTTCATGGGGTACGAAGTGGCTCAAGTAAGATTTTGTCTTACTTTCTCAAACGTATCTGAATTGGAGCGAATTTTCGGAGTGATGAAGTTTTTCTTGTTTTATTCTGTCCAAAATAATGGTGAAGAGCAGAGTCACACTCTCTCAGACAGGAAAACTTTTAGTTTTGTCCGAAATGTTTTTATTTGTCAAAATGAAACGAGATATTGTTATTACGGAAAAGAAATAAAGTAGAATGGGATTGGATGGAGGAAGTGGAACAACGTGGATGGAATTGACCATCCACTCCTGGAAAAGTAAGAGTCCAGACATGAAAAGCATGCCAACTTTGTCTGTCCATGTAAAGTAGTTGTCGAAATGGAACCAAACTTATACTAAAAGAATAATATTGTCCAGAATAATTGGTTTACATCATCAATTTAGGTGATATTATGTGATAGGCTTAAATAAAAATAAAAATAAAATTCAGGGATTCATGATTTCTGGTCTATTTGACAAGACTTTTACTTTTTATTTTACTTATCATAGAAAGCTTTACGAAGAAATTATCTTAATTATTGTTTGAAAATTAATTTTCCAAAGAGTTTTCACTATTGAAAAGGCTTTTAGAGGTTAGTTTCATCTAATCTCTCCTAACTATAAGGAACGTTTTTATAAGATTAATTAAAGGGGTCTGAAGGGAGTTTTTGGGTCTCACGTGCTCTTTTTGGCTTCTCAAAAACTATGGCAAATGGGCTTTAATTGTACTTCTCATTTAATGTCGCTTATGGGGGTGTATTCATTCGAGTCTTCTAATGACTTTTTGGGATTTTAAAAAGTTCAGAGGTATTCAATTGAGACTTATTGAAACTCTCTAAAAGTATTGATGTATTCAAATAAGATTTTTAAAAAATATTTAAAAGTTACGGTATATTCAAATAAAACTTTTTAGAAGTTTCTAAAAATTTTAGGGTATTCAAATTTTAATGACTATTAGAAACTTTTATAAAAGTCTCTGGAGTACTAAATTTTAAGCAAAAAGTATTCCTATAAAATCTCAAAATTTGTTTCTCATTAATCATGGAATTTTGGAAGACTTTCACAAATCTTTTTTTCCTTTTTCCTTCTACGGATAGGTATGATTAAATTTTTTTCTATTAATTATATTTATATTCATTTAACTCTCTCTCTCTCTCTCTCTCTAATGAGAATCACAATTTTTATTAACTATATATTTTATCAATTTCTATCAAAATCTATTTTTAACAAAACCAAAAAGGGACTTTTCACTTTGTGCAAAGGATACTTTTGTTTTTTTTTTTCCGCCTTGTTGCCGGATGTATTTTTTATGAAAAATTAAATTGGGTTCTTTTAAGTTTTTTTTTTTCCTTTTTTCGTTCATTTTATAATTAAATTTAAATATATTGATTTTTATTTATTTTTATAAGTACATTATATTAATAATATTGAATATTAAATTTATTGTTTATCATATATATGTATAATTTTGATTATTATTTATTTAATTAATGTCTTAAATTTTTATTCTTTTAAAAAAAAATTATTATATGGGAAGGAGGAGGAGAAGGAGAAGGGAAATTGTGGGAACCAACACCTCATATGTGAGAATTTCACACCATTGTCTTAAATCCACGTGAATTCTATTTCAAATGAAAGTTTTCAAAAAAATTTCGAATTCTAGGAAAGTCCATAAAATTTTTAAAATGGAATTCCATAAAAGTCTACAAAAGACTTCTACTAACTCCATACAAATTTATAAAAAATCCACAAAACCCACAGAAGTCATCACTTAAAAAAAGACCACCAAAGTTTTCAAAAGTCTTAATTAAATGCACCCCCTTTTGTATCACTGAAACTAATTTTTAACACTAATATTGCTAAATAGTATTACTCGATTGCTAATGATTGGGGGTTTAGATGTCAATTAAGTAGCATTAACAGTGAGTGGACTTGATATTGGCTCCATTTCAAGTGTTCAATTCAAGTAATTAATACTTAGGCCAATGACAATCAATAACCTGGATAAATGACACCACTCTTGACCATATTCACTCTTTGTGCTACTTAAGCGTTGTTCGAGAAAACTTTCGATAAAATTTTAATAATTTGATGAAATGAATGGTTAAAAAGCTTATATAAATTATGAATTTTATAAAATGTGTGGTTAAAATTAATTATTGACTTTGTTATACCACATGATATTTTGCTTGAGTAAGCGTGTTTACCAAAAAAATACCCATCAAGCGTGTAGACTTCCAATAAGAATTGTTGTGTGCTAAAATTTTATTTCATCACTTTCGTGTTGATCCAGTCTCTACGATTAATTCGGTTGATTGAAAATTGTAGAGTGAAAGAGAAATTAGTAAGGAATCGTGTCGAAGAATAATTACCATAAATGTCGAATTAAGAGAAAGCGTATTAGTTAGAACAACTTACAACATATACTCAAAATGGAAAATAATCAATACTACTCCTCTCGGTGGATGTCAACATATAGCATTATCTACAATCTATCTTTAATGTGTGTTTTTATCTTAAGGAAATTCAATTTAAAAAATGAGAGAGAGACTGAGAAATAGTCTGATTACATAGAAAAATCGAAAAAACAGAAATGGGTTCACTCAAAATGAATTTTTTAACAAGTTTTTTAATTCCCAATTCGACTTTCGTCTTGACCAATCCATTTATCCTTTAGAATTTAAAATCTGAATCGACTTTCTCTGTTGATTAATTACTTTTTCCCAAGAATAACTGCAGTTGGAGTTGTGAAATAGTAGAAATATCATTTTTTTTTAAAAAGTGAGTGAAAAAGACTGCTTCTTCCATGCCAAGTAAAGGAGCATATATCACATGGGTTGCAACCTCCAACTTTACACGCGTCAGTACCCGATACTCTCGGACGGGACCACTTAT